CTCTCTCTCTCAAAATAAATAAATAAACATTAAAAAAAAAAAATCTTAGCTCTGTCGTTAAAAGTGTCCCATCTGAGGAGCACGAGTTCAGCTTTAGGTTCCTCGTGGGAGCCACACCGGCCGAGGCTCACTTTACTGACGTTCCAGTCAATACTGAGTGGGGAGGGGATTAAGAGGAAAGGCGGGGGGCTGGGTCTATCGTGGCAATGAACAGCCCAGACCCAGCAGAAGAACCAAGGACTTGCTGGGGAACCTGGACTCCCTGAGCCTCAGTTTTCTCTCATCTATGAAAGGGGGGACGGGATACGCCCCACCTGGCAGGGCAGCTGGAAGGACAAGTAATGAAGACGGGGCTCAGCACACAGCGGCTAGCACCTAGCGGCGTCCCCTCAGTCTCCTCCGAAGGGCGGTCAAGACCACGGGCCACAGAGCCAGGCCGCCTGCTTCCAATCCCGGCCCCGCCAACCCTCGGTGGAGGAACGCCGGGCGGCGAGTCCCTCCCTCTCTACGGGAGGGAAGTTCTGACAGCGGCCCCGTCAGAGGGTGGCTGTGAGGGTCACAGGAGCGGACACGCACGAAGTGTGTGCAGCGCGCCATCAGGAGTAAAGTCCACACGGGCGTCGGCTTCTAGTCACGGCCCCTTTCCTGGGCCGCTGTGCTCGAAATGGGATCATACGCAATAAAGCCCCGGGCACATGACTCTGGGGTACAGTAAGTTCTCAATAAAAGGAGCCTGTGCCCACCCCTCCCTCCACCTTCTATCCTGCTTTCTACAAACTCGGATCCTCCCAAGTTCAGCAGCAGACAGGGCTGGATCCGAATCCCGGCTCTGCCGCTTCGTCACCGTGTGACCTTTGGCAAGGACGTCACCCGTCCAGGACTCAGTTTAGTTATCTGTAACTGTGATTGCTCTGAGTGGACCCCGCCGGGCCTGCCCATTCTGCTGGCCACCCGAGGAGCTAGGTCCCTGCGGCTCCTGTGCTGGGGGCGTGAAGAGAAGTGTCAAAGCAGGCCCTCAAGCGTGGGGACGCCACCCCCGGGGAAAGCCTGGCAGAGTGAACCAGAAGCCTGTGCAAAGGCCCTTGCTAACCCCTGTGGGTCACCGTGGCTCATCCACCCCGGGAACGGGTGCACAGACCCGGTGGACGGCAGGAAGCCGGGCCGTGGCAGGCGACGGCTTCCTCCCTGACTGGGCAGGCTCACGCCCGGGTATCCTGCCAGGCCGCTCCACCTGGGGTGTGGGTGTGGCGCGAGGCCCGGGAGGGAGGCAGCACCCCCTGGAGTCCTTCCCAGTGGGGACAGGGTTTGAGTCCACACCCTGGGGTTAAGTCCAGGCCTGGCTTAAGTTATTGGCCTGGCACACAAGGGCCTGCCCACCCCTGCTTTCTGTTTGCCCGGCACCACCCGGCCAGACCGAACTCACAAGTGTCCAATGTGCCAGCTCCCTGTCACCTGGCACAGGCTGCCCCCTGGCCCAGAACACCTCACGTCCGTCTCCAACCCCTTCCTGGTTCCTCTCCTCCAGCTGTCAGCTCCGCTGTCCCCTCCTCGAGGAGCACCC